CTCACATTCCACACACACCTCCCCCTCTTGACATTATAGCAGGAACGATAGAGACTGTTACCCAAGGGAGCTGTTTTTTCTTGTCACACAAGAACAGATGCTGAAATCCTAGGACAGACAGCACAGAAATATGGCAGCAGGAGGCTGAGTCAGAGGAAACAGAATGGACTCACCTTCAAGATATACCAAGACCTAGAGGGGAACCCGTTTGAATCATTTGCTTCCTGGAGATTCCAAAGAGAGTGTGTGTATGTTTTCAGGACCAATTCTGAGTCCAGCTACTCCACAGAGGCTGGTTAGAGATGGGCACGCCCCCACCCCCAGCACACCCACCCTGAAGGGAGCAGAGTCCAGGGAAACGTGAAGGCTGTGTTCTTTTTACATACATATATATGTTTTTAAAATATGTGTGTGTGTTTTAACAAATTTCTGTGTTTTATTTATTTTTTAAATATGTTTTTATTGATTTCAGAGAGAGGAAGGGAGAGGGAGAGGGAGAAACATTAATGATGAGAGAGTCATTCATGAGCTGCCTCCTGCACACCCCCTGCTAGGGATTGAGCTCACAACCCAGGCATGTGCCCTGACCGGGAATGGAACCAGTGACCTCCTGGCCAACACTCAACCCACTGAACCACACCAGCTGGGCAAGGCTGTGTTCTTTTTGAACCCAGCTCTGGCTTCCTCATTCTGGGGAGGCTCTTCAGCTGCTTCCCTTGTGCTGCACTTGAACGCTTCTCAGGTGCTGCCAGGCTTACTCTGTAAAGTCCTCTTGAGGCAATGCTCTGTGGAAGACACTGTCCCAGCACTGTGCACACTGAGCTTATATTTTTACATAGAATCTCATTTTCACATAGGCGAGTTAGAGTATGTGACAGGAGAAGCCACTCGGTGGATGTCAGAGAGGGCCTTCTGGTACTGACACTGAAGTTGTGACTTGAAGAATGAGAAGGACTGGACAGTGTTCCTCAAAGGGTCACCCTAGGCTGGCCCTGAGGGAGGAAAGGAGTCTTGGGGTGTCTGTTGAGGGAGTTTGGGGTGGAGCCATCAATGAGGAGAATCTCTTCCTTGGCAAGTTCAACTTGAAGGCTCTGAATTTATTCACCACAGCATCCTGGTGATCAGAACAAGAGCAGCCAAGGTGGTGATAAGGATTTGGTGGTCCTTAAGCTCCCTCCCCTGGCTTTCTCTTTGTGCCAGCCCCTGTGCCTTTCTCCAGCACCTTCCTATCCACTCCTCCTGTAACTAACTCCTCTCTTACCTGTCCCCGTGGAGCCACAACAGCTCCCTAAACCCCCTGTCTTCCTAGGTCTTCCTCCTTCCCTCCCTTCTTCTGCAAACTGACCCTCCCACTGTGGGTACCATATACCACACAGAAGCTAGGAAATGCCTCTGGAGGCTTTTCTGTAAGTATGAACTAAAAATGGGTTAGCTCACGGAAATATTAAGGGATCAAAATAATTTAGTCAGGCCCTAGCCGTTTGCTCAGTGGTTAGAGCACTAGGTCCCAGGTTGGATTCCTGTCAAGGGTAAGTACCTCGGTTGCAGGCTTGATCCCCAGCCCGGGTCGGGGGCACATGCAGGAGGCAACCAATCATGTGTGTCTCTCACACTGATGTTTCTGTCTCCCTTCCACTCTCTCTGAAAAGCAATGGAAAAAATATCCTCGGGCAAGGATTAAAAAATAAATAAATAAATTCAGTATTCTCTGTAACACACCAAGCTGGCATGACCATTGACATAATTTCTGGTGATCTGGAAGCCAAATAAAATACTGCCTCTTTCCCCCACATTGTACCAAACAGTGTTGGTTAATGTTCACAATTACAACTCTGATAGCCTGCAAGAAGATTCAGGTGTGCCTTCTAAATCATCAGAGAAAGAGGTTAAGTAGATGTTTTCCTTAGATGTTTGCATAGCTTACTCTGTCACCTCCTTCAGCTCTTTCTTCAAATGTCACCTTCTTGAAGGCTTTCCCCAGTGACACTAAGGAAAATGGCATTCTGCTCTGCCCCCTCAACCCCTCACACTCCTGATCCCCACTCCTGCTCTATTATTCTATGTAGCATTTATCAGCAACTCACATAATATCTACTTTTTTTGTTTATTATCTGTCTGGCACAGAAATGCATGCACACATGCAAACATTTGAATGTAAACTCCATGAGAGCAAAGATTTTGTTTATTTTGTCTAGTCTTGAAGCCCAGTGACTCAAAAAGTACCTGGTGCATAGTAAACACTCAATGCATATTTGTACATCACATAAAACATGGTTTCATTGATAAGTATATTTTAATTATATGTTTCAAATAAATAGTTTGTAAACACATCCCGAATTCATCTATTCATTCACTTACTCAGCAAACACTTAGTAAGTACCTGGCGAGTCAGCCCTGTTTGGGGAGGGGGCCAGGGGTTGGACAGTGAGCAACACAGAGATGCTATTTCTGTTCTTGTAGGACTCAAAGTCTGGTGGGGAGAAGGACCCTATACATTTGTAAACCAATTAGTGAAAATGATATTTAGTGAGTGAGGAAAGAATAATGAAAGAAAGAAGTAGGTGGCGAGTTAGGTGTCACAGGAGAGGCCACTCGGTGGACATCAGAGAGGGCCTTCTGGTACTGACCTGAAGAATGAGAAGACTGGACAGTGTTCCGCAGAGGAAAACCCACTTGGCAGTCACCTGGGATAAGTGTGTTTGGTGCCCAGCATAAGAGGCCTTGAGGAGAAGACGGGGAAGAAATGTTAAGTCTGAAAGTTGGATTCTAGCTCCACTCTACTATGTATTAGCTATAAGATCTTGAAAAGGCCTGAGTCTCCCTTTCCTTAAAATGGGGGTGAGTACCTACCTCACAGGTGTGGGCTGTACAGTGGTACCTCGGTTTTCCAACGTCTCCGTTGATGAACATTTCGGTTTACCAACGCCGTAAACCTGGACGGCAATGCTTCGGTTTTCGAACACGCCTCGGAAGTCGAACATGCCACCTGGCTTCCGCTGAGGGCAAGACCCCTTGGTTTCTGAACATTTCAGAACTCGAAGGGTCTTCTGGAACAGATTACATTTGAAAACCGAGGCACCACTGTATTAGATAATGTATGTGAACATGTTTAAGTGTAAAATCCATGCAGGTTTTATGGGTAAATGGGTAAGTGCTGTTAGCTCTGTAGTGCTGGAGTGTGAATTTCCCCCTGGCCTTGAGTAGCCTGAAGGGAAAGCTTGTCCTTTGGTATACTTAACACCTAAGGAACCAAAGCATGGCAGAGCCCGATGCCACTGGCGGAGCATTTGTGCTGCTAGGCATCTGTCTTGCTTCAGATTGTGTCCTGTGTTTTGGGAGACTTCAGAGGGTGCCTAGGGGCCATGGCTTCCTGGGAGGAAGTCGGAGGAGTAGGAGAACCTGTTCTGAGGGTCTCACCAGGGCTGTCCTCATCTGCTCTCACTGCTATGACCTGTCCCTGAGACCCGATTATATTTGTCCCCATGGTACTTACCAGCAGTTAAGAGACAAAACGGGACTTTGCCTGTGTTTTCTGCTGGTCCCAGGATAGCCTGCGGGCACTGGTGCAGACCAAACCTACAGGCCAGAAAGGAGGCTGGAGGGGACAGACAGGGGGGCTGGTCCTGGGATAAAATGAGGATGGGCTCTGGACTTTAAGGAAGGGAGAGGAGCAGAGAAGGAAAGAAAGAAATGAGAGGTGGGGAAAGGAAAGCTAGGGTTTGGGGCGCAGGGCGGAGGGGGAGGGAATGGAAAGCAGGGAGGGCGAGAGGGAG